AGGGCTGAATCCTCACAGTTACGGAGGCCGTAGAAACAGCTCTGGCCGTAATAAGATTTTTAATTCGAGTAGCAGCAGGACACGTGAACGGGAGAAGTCGAGAAGAAGAATTCGGCTCGAAGAAAATACCTACCAGTCGTGGTTACAGGCCGAACTTGAAGCCGGCTACAGTTCTTTTAGTGACAGCGAGTTCGCGGCGCATTCACTGTCGTCAGGATATCGTAGACGGTAAGCTTACATTAGCTTGGTTCAATTTTTATTGCTTTACTATTATTTAAACGTATTTACAACTTTTATAATATGTTATTTCTGTCTGTAGGGTATCAATAGCTAGTGTTGAATCGCGGAAAAGGGAGCGATTCCACGTGGCAGCAGAACTGGACGAATCGGGACAACAGTAGAGGATCCCTTCTGGAAATGTACCAGGTAGGAAACTGAACAAGGTAACATCCCAAAACACTTAAAAGTTCGGAGGTGAAGAATTGCTTGAAATCAATCAATTCGTATCTTTTACACAGGACCTTCGACATCTACTCCTGCGCAGTCTCCCAGTTCCTTTCACCTTTGGCCATCTCTAGTGAATCTCGCCAGTGAATCTCGCCAGTGAATCTCGCCAGTGAATCTCGCCAGTGAATCTCCCATCCGTGATCTCACTACGTCGAAAATGTAAGCTCATACAGTTGTTTTACAATACATATATAAGCTAAGTTCGTGATTCTTGGCTTAGGTATCGAGTCGGTGATAATTAAATAACCTGAAATAACAGATAGCAAATTAGACTTTTTGGGTATTGAATTGTAAATAATCGCTGTAAAAGCATTGTGGCTTTAGGGCGTATTTTTGTTTTCATTGTATTAGTGTAAGTAGGGGAAACATATTTTAACTTTTTTTTTCACTACTTTCAGTTCGAACTCATCATTATTTTCCGACAATGAACCATCCGACGAACTCTGAACCTGACATGAGGTACCTTTTGCATGTTTCCTGAGTAGTTTTTGTGTCACATACCTTTTATAAGAACGGTCCTTACAAGATAAAATATTAATCCTGATCATTGTCTTACCTTTGTTGTTATACTCACCAATGTACAAGTATGAACTTCGGGATTGCTCTGAACACAATTTTCTTGCATAAAATAAACTTACAATTTTTCAATAGAAGGACAGTGTATTGCCCCAAGTTATTTGCTAGAAATTGTGTTTCATCAAAACTAATTGCTTCTGTGCTCGCCTTTTTAGTTACCAAGAACTTTACAGTTGTGCAATTCAGCAGTTCAACAAAGAGCGGTCTCTTGACGGATACTACAATGATGATCCACAATTTGAGTAATTACATGTAGATTTTCTTCTTATTATACCTTGGAGCTGTTCAATAATGTCTCTTGATAACCAGCTGCTGCTGAGCATAACAATTTCATGATAAGCCTGTCCGAAATCATATTATGCAAATTTTAGGTCACGTGATATGTAACTCGAAGACCTCATGGTTAATGGCAAAGACCTTTCTGTAAGCTGAAGGTGGTTTATGAAATCGAGGAAGTGCTAAATTTGTGAATTTTATTTGATGTACGGGTGAAACTTTAGATTTAATAATTATTATTATTATTGTTTTCTCCTGCTGTATAGTTTAATATATTTTTTCCTAGCTACTTACACTTTAAGTCATAGAGATGGTAATATTTCTACATGTATCATGTTATAATTAGAATTTTTTAAATTTTTTTTTAGATTGAACATGAGTGTAGAATCCTCAGATGAAGAGGATGTTGAGTACGAGGATCTTGAGTTTGACAATGATGCTGTTGATTCTGAGGGTGTGGGTTCTGAGGGTGTTGCTCTTGAAGATGCTGTTGAGTAGGGGGCAGCTGAAGTAGAAGTAGAAAAAGAAAAAGAAAACGACAAGGCAGATGTGAAGAAATCCCCTGATGTGCCTGATGGTCCCGAACATGTTGGTCCTCATCTTAAATTGAGTAGAGGTAACGAGCAGCACTCCCTCCAAAAGGAGATGAAATATGTTAAGGAGAGGAAATTTATATGTTCTATCGATTTGTTTCTAGAGTTGTTTGTAGGTTGCTGCAGGACACCTGGATGCCAGGAAGTCCCCAAAGTAAAACATCAATTTGTGGGGGCAACAGTTGTTGTTTATACTTTGTGTTCTCATGACTATGCATTCAGGTTTTGCTCATCTCATGAAGTTACTGGTATGTATGCAAACAATCTTCAGGCAGCAGCAGCGATTGTGTTGTCAGGGCACAACATTGGAAAGATAAGAAGAATGGCACAATTTCTTGGTCTTGCTTTACCCTCCAAGGCAACTTTCTTTCGATTTCAAAGTTTGCACATATTCCCGGCAGTTAAAGAGTGGTGGTCATGGATGCGCAGCGAGTTGATCAAAGAGTTCGTTGGGATGGATGTGGTTATTGGTGGGGATGGGCAATGTGATTTCCCCGAGTTTAGTGCCTGTTTCTTCTTGATGGGGGTAACAACCAGCTGCATCCTTGAAATTGAAATATGCGACAAATGTCATGTGGGGTTATCTTCAGCTAATATGGAGAAAGAGGCCCTCAAGAATGCTTTAAACAGAATCTCAAGGGTGTTAAACATTGTGGAACTTGCCACGGATGATCGTCGTCCATAAAGAAATTAATTTGTAAGTACATATGTACACTGTATGTATTACAGGTATTCCAGTCACTATGGTAAAAAAGTTGTGTTTGTGGCTCTCAATACAGAAGTGTCACACCCAGGGAAAGACTGCATCCCTCAAAGATTGTCCTGCCCAGCATATACATTCTCTACTGCAATTTCTTAACACATGATGCATTTTTACATGTACATCAATGTTTCTAGTGTTAAAATCTTTGTTACATTTATTTCTTAGCAACTGAGTTCCACCACATATTCCACAGCCTAGACGTATGGCACAAGGCTAAAAGCATTAAGAAACGTTTGGCAAAGATACATCCAGTGCACATTGTTTTTTTCCTTAAAATACATGTAGGTGGTTGGATTTATGGAATGCGTGTATCACATAATTGTATCAGTGACAAGTCAAATTCTGTGGCTATGTTTTTGCGGATACAGACAAATATACATGTATTGATGTTTACTGAAAGGATTATCCAAGGTTTTCTTGAAATACCCTTGAAAAATTTCAATTCCTTTTTTACCTTCCCTCAGGCTGGGCAAGCAAAGGCTATTTTAAAGATAAAGGCTCGGTCCAGTCTCATTATCCGCCATTTTAGTACTGCAGTAGTGTTTGTAAGATCAGTTCCACAACATCTGATGAAGAGGCATTGAAAATAATGAGGGTACATTATGCATTTAATCTACAATATTCCTACTTACATTGTATGACTCACATTGCATGTGTGGGACTGAAGGCTTCAAATTTATGCCGGCATTTAATTAAATTTATCCTCATACCACTACAGCCTTTTTAATATTGTTATTGCTGTTGGCATCCCTTTGTAATGTTTTGCCACCATGAGATATCGACTGTACAGCAGTGATCATCAATGGGACTAATGCAAAGACCACAATCAGAATATGCTATTCACAGATCACATGCATCTTATATGGTGATGGTTCCAAAAAGAATACTCTGCTTTTTTTTTCTTCCTCCGTATATAAAATGGACAAATGGATTGGTCTTCTCCATCATGTTTGTGACAAGCAATAATGGGGCCTGAATGGAAAGTGTGATCATGAAGACGGGAGCCATGAGGTTAATCTCCCATGGTTCGACAGGCGAGATGAAGACTTTAAACAGCTACGGAAAAATTGTTTTAAATCCAGAATTACTTGATAGCCTCAAGTATTATGCGAGATTCAGGTAAATTAGGAAAAGTGATTTAACTTGGCAATTTTACTAATGCGTGGTTCCAGAATATGCACACCATCCCAAAGGAGAATCATTGCAAATTCTGAGGGGGATGGGGGTCCAAACAGAATGCGTCAAGTTAAACTAAGATTTCCAGAAGATTTTCTTTTGGGGGAAGAAGGGTTCCAACCAAATAGCCCTCTGTACTTTGGCATGGATGGATACTTTTTTGGAGCAACATAATTTCACAGTGGGAAAATTCACTATTTTAGTATATTTACTTCTACTCTCAACAGGCAAACAGGCAGTATTGAATGTGTCAACAGCTTGTCACTGGTGTGTACACCAAAGAGAATACCGCTAAGGTAGAGGTCACCCCCTGCATAAATCAGACATTATCATTGTAACAAATCCAACCTCTCATGTTATATATATTCATAATTTCTGTTTATTTAATTTATAACTGATTCAATTATGCATTCTCCATATATTGTAAGTCAAAATTATTATAAGATACTACTGATGGTTATAATTCTGAAATAACTGATCACTGCTGTAGAGTAAAATACCTGTGGCCTCATATAGTTATATAGTTCATGTGTCCACAGATGTATAATCTAAAAAGGCAATTTTCCTGTTTATAGTTACAGGGCTTACAAAGTCAGAAAGCACTTGGCAGCAGTTGACTGGAATTACCACCTTCACCTTCCTATGGCTACCAAAACTACAGGTGAACAGATTTTCAGTCGAAAGTACAACCAACGTACACAACAATGGGATGAGAAAATTGCCAAAGCTAACAAGGGGAATGAGTATTTCCCTCTCCTCATTACCAAAATGTTTCATGCCAGGATGGAGAGTGTTGATCTGGTTGCACGGCATGTATCACTCAACGAAAGTGATCCACGTTTGTTGGCACCAACTATTGCTGTAAAGCCACCACCTCCCACAGCAAAGTAGTCGTGGTTTTTGCACCTTGGTCTTTTTATTAAAGGCGCTCAGTCATATTCTGTAGCTATATTTGTACAGTATTGTAAAATGAATTTAATGGTGGTGGTGGTGTGAGCACCATCAGTTTTTGGTGATAGTAAGGATCCTTTAATATTGTTACATGTAGATGGAATGGAGTGAATCTCTATTATTTTGGCTTACACTGTATCTGTAGCATAAATGTGAGTATGTGACAAAAGAATCACTGCTCTCATCTAAAATACCCTTCCTTTACTATTGTGATGTAACTTCACTTTGTAAATATCTAATGACTAACCTCTTACTAACCGAGCAAGAGGGTCGTACTGGGAAATATTGGTCCGAGGTCGTGGCAGTACGGACCAAGCGCAGCGAGGTCCGTACAAAAACGACTAAGGGCCAATATTCCCCAGTACGGCTCGAGCTAGCTAGGTTAGTAAGTAATTTATTGTATGGCACTCGGGTCATGCTTGTTTGTTTTCTGTTAAAACGCACTTCCGGTCACTTGAATTCAAAGGGCTTCCGCCGTAACGTGTTTTTGATGACGCGAGCAACTCAGAAAGAACATGCTACCGCGAGTTTGAAGACAAATTTATTGAACTAAATCAGTTGAATATAAACAGGACTTCAAGAACTATTTGTGACGGAATTTGACAAAATTCTCAACGGCTGGAGGTTGTTGAAATTCGCAAAAGGGTTTTTGTCAATCCTGGAATATTTTAACTAGCACATCACAAAATATCGATCAAGAAAAGTCAAAGTTGGTTGCTGTGAAAATCTTTCAAAATTATACACAGCTGATGAAGAAGCAGTGTTAAAGTCAATCGTCCTCATCACTCTCGATTACAATTCGACGCTTTTTTTCATTCTGGACAATTTTCACATTACCATGAAATATTTGGAAGGTTAATCCACTGGTGGATCCTATGCTTGCATCTGCAAAAACTGGAGCGGTAGAACACAGTAAGGGATCGTTAGACTGATCAATGAATGAGTTTTAGGTCGTGCTTGTGGCGATTTCCGCAGTCGAGCGAGTGGCTACTTGAAGATCTTGATTATGCACACTTGAGATAGGTTCATCTCCGGATCCAGAACGGTCAATTCTGCTGAGGGTCAAGGACATCCTCCTTTGGTGTTTCGAACTAGCTGACTTGTAATATTGCAAACTCCCCGTGCTTTTGTGGCCACTCGGTTGGGCTGCAAAGTTCTCCCGTAACACCTGCATCGAGGAGCCTTGAAATACAGGTTTTCCTGACGGAATAACTGGTTACTTTTTTTCCTTCTTGCTGAAGGCCAGCATTCTTCGCTGCAGTAGATAAAACTTAAGCTTTCCGATTTTATTTTCACCGAGGGGTGCCTTCATATACCAAACCTCGCCATTTGAGCGTTGATTATGCCGGTCCGCCAAGTAAAACGGTGATTCTGGTGCATTCATCTCCACTGGCCGATGACTGCGGAATTTCTTGTAGAAGCTGACTGGACATCTCTCCGTATTGGTGGCATACGGCTCAGGTTGGAATGCTCTTTGGTGTCCTTGTCCCTTACCATGTCGAGTCTTCGTACCTCGTTCGGCTAACCAGACCAAGATTTCTTGGCCATCATTCTGCTGTTGAAGCTGAACGTCCAACCCAGCGCACCTTGGGGCTTTCATCTCTTGCTCGGAAACCAAAGTGTAGTGAAAAACCCCCATACAGTTCTTTGAAGTGCAACTGGATTGGAGTCACCGAATTCTCCCTCTTCAAAAAGAGCATCTTCTTCGTTTTCGTCAATC